TATCTCGGAAATCTTATTGTCATGGCACCCAGGCATCAGCTAGCGTGAGAAGCTTGTAGGTTTGACCATCTACAAAATCATATTATACACACCACTTACTAAATTTGAAACATGGTTCCAAGAACATTGAAGAAAACAACCTGGGGATTGCCACATTTTCTTGCTCTATTTCATACAATACATTCAATATATTATTTATGGAGGAATTGTGTACCCAGCAACTTTAACCATGTGAGATAAGTGTTTTCTGGGTTGCTGTTTAAAGGACATGTATTTTCATTGTTTGCAAACCAACATCATTTTCTACCCATCAAAATTCCTATATTTAAATATTCATTAGCAGTTTCCGTATAAAAACCCTAGGTATGCCTAACATAAGTGCAATGGAAATGTGTGTGCGGTCTTATCTAAATAAAAAAGAATTGTCCTTTTAAAGCAAGAATATTATCATTTTTAATAAACTAATTAAAAAGTATTGCTCGTTTAGAGTGCTGTTGTATTCTAGAAGTACATGAACACATGCAATCTCTCAAGAAGGGATCTCAATAATTTTAATTTTATTAAATTGCTTCAAATTTTATCATGCAAGTGTCATATCCATGTGAGTGTACTTATTTAAAATCATGTTTTTCTTGCATAATTATACATGTTGATGCATACTTATGCTGTTGCATGCAAGACATGATAGGAGAGATATGAGAACGTCTCAAATACCTTTTTTAAAAACCTGAAATACAACATGGGACATTTAGCTACAAAGAGAGTTTTGTAAGTTGCCTCGTTAAGTTGTGGAACCTTTTCTTAGAGGTTTCCAAGAAGGACTGAAGAGAAATATCCCACCTTGCCTCAGAGGAGAGGTTGCATTAGATAAATGTGGATATAACATAGATTAATTTATATGTGGGCCTTTCATTAAACATAACAAAGATTTTTTTAAAAAAACAAACAAACTAACAAACAACAAAGATAAAAGTATTAAAAGCTGCTTTTTTTAAAAAAAAGTGAGCAATAATCTTTTATTGCTTTATTTTCCTACAAATATGGCTTTGTGGTTTTTCTTTGAACAGCATTTGCAACATTGTGCATTTACCAAAAAATATTTCTGATGTGCATGATTGATAATCTAATAAGAGATGCCAGTGTGCAGTCACAGCTGAGTGACATTATCAGGGAGACAATGTGGTTCAGATGAATGTATCTTCCGCTGAGTCTGTGCTAGACACAGAACTCCTATGAATGCACTGCAGCTTAAACAACAAGTGAGGCTTGTTGGAAAGGAATTTACAGGCAAAGAACTCTCAAGCAATCTTCTTCTACATCATCAGATTTCCTCAGTAGATGTGCTGTACAGGAGCTCTCAACGTAGCAGATCACAGAGAAAAATAATTCCACCCCCTTTGCTCCCACTTGGCAAATCACTAATAGTATATGAAGGAATATTTTAAGAACTGTTTCTCCTTTGGGCTCTCACTTGCTATTACATATCCATAAGCAGGTTCCTTGTAAACCTATCCCAAATAAATTAAGATAATAGCCACACACTCCCCAAACTACGTGAACTACCGAGTTTGCTTCCAGTTGTAAAGTGTGTTACATTTTAACACCAGAAGAATTAATAAGACAACAGAGACAGTACAATACAGTGTAACCTAGTCTCCTAATGCTCAAGAAATATTAGTAAAAATGTATAAAGTGTTGAATTACAAGTAAAGTCTAACAACTGAACCAGCTATTATGCATGTCTAGACAGAATTACTCCTCAAAGTAATTCTATGGCAAATATATTACTATCCACTGTAAATGCACTCAAAATTTGTTAAAACCAGGTTCCCAAGAAACTGATCTCCCATACAATAGCTCACTTATTAGCACACCTAATTTTATACTAAAATTATCCACACACAAACACAGCGCAAGAGTTGTGCTTTCCTCACGCCATCCTAAAATCTTCTGATTTAGCTTTGGTAAATCCTTTCAAAAACAGAATTGCCTCTTAGCTTGATAAATCATGTTCAGTTTGAAAGGAATTCAATATGCAAATGTTTCAGCTGTTCCTCGGCACAAATTGTCTGCCTTGTCAATTTGAAAAAGTGAAAATCAACCAAGGAATACTTGACCTTACAGCCTAATGTCTATCAGGAATGCCATGGTTGGTCGATTTCAAACCTCTGAGAACAATGAGTGGCACATCTTCAGCCCATATCCTATAAGCGCTGACTAGATTTCAAGCACAACTTTAGGATTCTGGCAATCACTACTGTAGTCTAATTACACCATCAACCTGCACCCACAACATTTTCAGAGCAATCACCATCTTTCCTCCCCCCCCCTTTCTTATTTTAGTATTAGGTGAGCAGTGGCATTTCTAAACCTGATATAGGATCTTAGAGCTACCCCTCGCACTGCTAACTCTCCCACCCCAAACCCGGGTCCTTCTTATATCGGCTAATAGTGTTAAATTTGGAACTGAAGATGAAATGAATCCAGACGTCAAAAAGCTCACGATGACCACCTTTCAGACAGCAACGTCCCTCAATCATTAAGGTAGAAAGGGAAGCATCAAAGCTCCTTATAAGACTTGCCAGTGGGAAACAGCACAAAAATTATCACTCATTCCAACAACATTAGCCTAACCCTTTGGTAATAAATCATAGGTAAGTCTTTATGAAATCGACACAAAAATGTCCTTCTAGCAAAAAAGAAAAGAAAAAGAGGAGAGTGTTCCGTACAATGGTATTTGCTGCGTAAGAGCAGTTTATACAGGCCCCTAGTGGCTTACCACTCACAGCAGCAGACAATGGGGTGATCCCTACTTTTTTGCTTGTGAAGTTCTAGTGCCATTGCCAATACAGTGTGGGAACTGCAGGTGGTCTTTTTAAACAAAATTGGAGAGTACCTTGTGTTTCTAATCTCAAAGTCAGAGCTATTGTCAAATACTTCACAATTTTTTTTAAAAAAAGAAAATGTATCTACCCACACACAAACCATTGTCCTATTGCTGCTTGAGAATATTTGAGTTATATAAAAGCCACAATAGAATGTTTAACCAATGTCACTGTAATTCACCAAGTAGCAAAATGTTGAGACAGATGAAAATGTATTTTTAAACACAACTGCTTGAAATCTAAAACCTGCATTTCCCTTTTTAAGTGTCATTCCTACCAAAGCACATATAAATCACAATGGATTTCTTAGTGCCATCTTAAAAGCAGAGATCGTCTGTTTCACTAAACCATGTACACAAAGCATGTATCATTCTGAATTGAAAATACCTATAAATATCCTACCATACCTCCACAAGTATTATTATATGAAAAGGTATCTAATTATCTGTCTCCCTTCTCTTTGCAAGAGCTACAGAACCTAGTACTGAAACATGCCTTGTAGGGAACACATCTGATGTTTATAGCAATTTAACAGAGCAGAATTTGACAGCTGAACTTAAGGCACTGACCAGACTATCAATTTCACATTTGAAAAATACCGAAGCCATACAGTAGGTCTCAGGAGAACTAATTTAAGGACATTTTGATGAAGCAAATCATCAGTGTCCCTTAAAAGCAGACATATATGGGGCTGATTTGTATTCAGAGGATGAAATCTTTGATTTCTGTTGTTTATGTTACTCTGTTGTAGTGTGTAGTCCTTATTTCAAAATGAACAAAAACACTTTTTGTAATAAAATTCTACCGCCAAAGAGGGGAGCCCCCCATAATTCTCTTTCTGTTTTTCATGTTGTGGGTATGCATGTCAGGAGGGTGAAAGAAAATGACAAAAAGTCACTATCATCTGTCGCAATAGAACTTTTGACACTATTTTCCAAGCAAAAATATCACAGGAACCAACACAAAACACACCATGAAAACTCAATGCAACGACTCATCTGAGCCTCATAGATTCTGAAGGAACATATAATCTTGGTGCTGCACTCTGCTGGGGTGAACACTTTACATGAACCACACCAGGAAGATAATTTTTAGGCAGGTACAAAGAAACTTGATGAGAAATGCACTTCCCAGTGGATTATAAAATATGCAAAACCCTGAAGGGACGAATGCTGACGACACTGCCCTCTTCCAAAATAACCTGTGGAGAAACAGAACTAACACTAGCGGAAGAGGCGATTGGGGGAAAGGTTAAGTATAAAGGTTATGACTTGTGGGGCAGCCAGTCATTGACGGCGGCTTGGGGAAGAGGGCAAAACAAAAATAAAAAACCTTCACAAGCATTAGGGAGCAACTCAGAAGGCTGGATGGAAGTATTGTGGAAAATAAGTTTCCCTCAAAGAAAACATGGGAGTGCCCTTGTAAACCTTGCCATGCCTCTGTCAAAAGTCCTTGTCTTGGCGGCTTTAAGGATATTGTTATTATTGTTGTTGTTATTATTATTACATAATTCCTGTTTTAGCATATGCGTTTACTTAGGAACCCTATGAAGAAGAAAGAGGGGGTGTTATCTGGGCATTCCCAACCTACCCCCCTCCCCGTCACACGCGCGCAGGCGGTTCCCCAATCTCAGCGCACTTCGGACGGCATCTCCTCTCGCCTTTGATTTCTGTTCTTATCTTCCCACTGCGATAAACACCACTCAGGACAAACGAGCTAACTCGGCCATCATCATCATCAACAACAACAACAACAACAAGCCTTCCGTCGGCAGGCAGCACCGCACGCCTCCATCTCTCCCTCCCAAGCAAACGGACGGACCTCTCTCTTTCCCCCAGGACACCAATCCTGGCACGCACCAGCCCAGCCTTCTTCCCACCCCACCGCCTTCAGATTCCCCTTATTGTCAGCTCTCCTGTCTGGAGATTAGACCCCGGGGCTACTGGAGCGGGGGGGAGAAGAAGAGTAGCTAAGAAATGCACATGGCTGTCTCTCATGAACACATCATGCACGCGCGCGCACGAGCGCGCAAACACACACACACCACACCAGATTTCCAGAGCAGGGGCTGGAAGAAAGAAATGGGTCAGGAGCAGCAGCAGCGGGGAGAATTACCTGGTCATGCTGGCTCCCCGTCGGCTCCCCTCGCAGCAGCAGCAGCGCCGCCGCTGCCCCCGCCGCCAGCCAAGCCCTCCTTGCCGGGCGCTGCTTCTTGGCAGGGCTCCCTTCCTCTCCCTTTTGCCTTCTTCCTTCCTCTTGCTGCTGCTGCTGCCGCCACGGCCACCTCTGCTCCTCTTTCCCCCGCTGCTGCTGCTGCTGCCGCTCGTCTCCCGGGAGGCCGATTTAATCCAAAGCCGAGCGAGCGGCTCCTTCCCCTCCCGCGACGCCCCCAAGCGCCCGGGGGTCTCTCGCCGCCCTCTCACGGACCGTCCAAAGCGGGGAAGTGGATGGGAGTCCGAGGGGCCGGCGGCATCCAGGGAGCGGGGAAGCCGGCGGAACTCCCCGGGCTGCCGGGTCTCCCTGGCCGGCTTCTTGCTGCTGCTTGTCCGCTCTGTTCTGCCTTCTTTTTCTTGCTGCTGCTTCTGTTGCTCCCGGGCTCTCTCTCTCTCTCTCTCTCTCTCTCTCTCTCTCTCTCTCTCTCTCTGCTCGCCGCTTCACCCTCCTCCTTTCTCCTCTTGCTCCCTCCTCCCTCCCCCTCCCTTTTGCCCCTCTTAATTTAGTCCATTCTTTAGCTACAAATAGAAAAACCGGATCCACTCTCCTCCTCCTCCTCCTCCTTCTCTAAGGAGGGAAAAAAAGAAGGAAAAAGAAGAAGAGGAAAATTTCCCCAAAGTGCAATGCAGACCCAAAAAGGGCAAGTTGGAGATGGCTCGGATGTTGGAGAAGGATGGAAACAAAATAGGGGAGAGATTCCCCCCAACCTTAAAAAAAAAACCAGCAGAAAGAGGAAAGGGGGGGGAATAAAGACCCTTTTAGAGGATTCCTCTGGGAAGAGGCGATGGCTGCGCTTGCTTGCTGAGGGACCAAGTAAGAGGGATGCTCCCCATCTCCTTCCTCTCTCTCTCTCTCTCTCTCTCTCTCTCTCTCTCTCTCTAGGTGATATTTATATAGAGAGAGGACATAATATATATTATTGCTAAATCCTCTTATGCTGTGCAGATCACAGGATTTGAGTGCGCCCCCCCAGCAGTGTTGTGAGAAGCTTGTTGCAGAGCCCGGCTGTTTTTAGGCGAGTGGGAAGCGGGTGGAGAACGGCTGAGCCTCTCGCCCTTGCGCGCCTGGCTGGACCACAGACGGACGGGGGACGCGAGCAGCGAAGAAGGCGCACACGCGCAACGCCGGAGCGCGCCGGGCAGCAACGGTGCGCTGTGTGGGGCGGAGTGGGGGGGGAGAGAGATTGGCAGGGACGGTGACGTCACTCCCCGTTATCTCGCTGTACCAGCCCAGAAAGGACCTCCCCCTTTCTCTCCCCCTCCCCACCTCTTGTGCCAAACACACAGAGAGCTACACGCGCACGCCCCGCGTTTGCAAGAAGGCGAGAATCTTGTGCGCCCGTGTTTTCCCTCGGAGAAGCACGCACGCTTTCAAACGCGAGCGAGCGAAGCAGCCGGTTGGGTGCCTTCTCGCTTTGCACCCCGCCTTCTCTCCGCCCTCTTCTGTGAATTTTGCGAGAGCTCCTTTCCTCCTCCTCCTCCTTGCAGCTGCCCTCACGTCTTTGAGGACACGCGGTTCAACCTCCCAGACGTTGTTTTTTTTTTTTAAAAAATGGAAACTTCGTGCGCGAGGGAGAAATCGTGTGGGAGAGATGATAGTTCAGGTCAGGTCCATTTTCTTGGAGTTAAAGGCCGTTTGGGAGGAATCGTGTAGCTGCAATCCTAACCCTCTTGCCTGGGAGTAAGCCCAACGGAGTTCAGTAGGGGTTACTTTTGAGTAGACGGGACTACGATTCTGTTGCAAATCGGTTCCCACCCCCTTGAAAAGAAGGGTGTCAGGTTGCTTTAAAGAGGCGAGTAACAAATGGAAGCCTGTTACTTCATTCGGATTATACACCTTAAACTGTCAAGCAAATGAAACCTCAGTGTTGCATTATTCAAGAAAATTGCTGTCTTGGGGTCATTTACATTTGTTGTATATGTAGTCCCGTTTACGTAGTAATAATCATAACTGGGTGGAAACATGGTGCTATTTATATAAACAAGAGCATTTCTTATTGGAAGTTGAAGTTAAATAATAGTAATTTGCTATTAATTACAACGTTCGGGTTTCTAAAAAGAAACCATGAGACTTCTGAATGCTTTTTTTTAAAAAAAGCATCACAAATCCTTGTAAGAAAACAAACACACACTAACAGTGTGAACCACAAATGCAAAAGCCATTTCACCACCAGGCCCTGCTACGCCCCCACACTATTATGAAGTATATTCAGAAATAGATACAACTAATTCCTCAAGGTCAAAGTCCAAATATTCTGCAAATCTCTCCCCAAAGTTAATCCTTGCAGAGTTTCAGCGTGACCCTTTTTGCTTCACTGATGACCCAATTCTACACACAGCTTGTGCGCGGGATGAACCAGGGATCCGATCTGTTACTTGTGTTCCACTCATTTCCCTCTGCAAATGTTTAAAGGATAGATAATAAAAACAGGCTGACTTGTGCCTTCTTTCTGCAACCTCTGAAGGGCTGCTTACAGGAGCAACTGGACAATGCCAAGACATGTGTTCATTACCATTTAATCTGTCTCCAGTGGACTACCAGTTAATATTGGTCATTGAAACCGTATACACATGAAGTTAGCCATAATCCATATCTGTCCTACAGTAACTGAAGAAGAAATGTTTCCATCCAATCTGAAAAAGTTAAACCACATTCACTCCACAGTTAAGCTGGTGTGTACATTTGAAACAGCCATTGCACATGTACAAACGACGGCTTCGTGAATAGGAGTTGGGGGGAGTGCAGGCATGGGATTGGATGAAAGACAAGGGGGGGTCACCTTGCTGCCCAAAAGCCACTCATGTGTGCATAGACAGACTGCCTTAATTGCAGAGATTCACACTGAGGGATACAGAAATATTAGTAGGCGATAGCCACACACGTTGTGTTAGCACGCTGAATTATCCCATTCCTTTCTCCTCCGTCTTTTGTTCTCAAAAAGCTACTGGCCTGCCACATCCTTGTGGCAACTTGATACTACATTCTATTTCTTAGTCTGTCTAAGGGCATTAAAGCAACATTTGCCTAAAAGAACACAATGTTTCTGTGTCTATACTACAGAAAATGCTACAGCTGTGTGCATTTATAAATGATTTGTTCTATATTTTTCAAATATACATTTGTAAGCACTGTATAGGAACATGTAAGGTGGGTGAGCTGACAGAGTCCTACTTCCACTTGCCTGTGAAAGGCCTTCAAGCACTGCTTGCCGCGAAGACAAATTGCCAGTGTACTGTTTTCCAAAGATACACAACACAGAGAGAACAGGAAATGGGATTGCTGGAAGGGCAGGGGAGGGTGTAGTGCATTGCCTTAAAATGTTTTGTGAACAGGCGTGTTCATTTCCACACTTTGGGATTCTTTGGGCCCCGCAGATGTGGAAACAAATCAGTAACAAAGTTTGAATGAGAATTCTGAAACAAAACGTAGGCTTTTTTACACATCCAAAGTGTAGCCAGCTCATCCCATGTTGCCTGCAGTAGTCAGCGCATCCCCTTTTTAAAATTTGTTTTCAAAACAAAAATATTTGTTTTTTATGTCCGGCCTGCCCTATATGTTCCATCTCTCCAATTTCATTTTCTACAGTGCAGCTAATACTGATATGGTTTATTTGCTTGCTTGCTTAAAAGAAAAGTGTCCTCACAGGTGAATTATATTTTTTGCATAAATCAGCTTAATGTTAGATTAATACACTAGAAGTGTTGCTGGGGATCACATAACTGCTATTTCAGTTATGCCATATTTGTGAGTTTCTGATAGGCACCTGGTTGGTCACTGTAAGAACAGAACACAATATAGACCTCTGGTTCAGCAGGGTGCTTCTTACGTCATTATGCATAAATGCTTAATTATTGAGATCAGTTATGCATGCTAGGCATTGCATCCAACAAAGTTCTGCTCAGAATAGAACCCACTGGAATTATTGGACCTGTTAATCATGCCCATTAATATCAGTGAAAACATACCGGCAAAATTGTAAAACAGGACACGTAAAGGAAACTCAAGACGGTAATTGAAACAAGTACCCGTGTACCGATGGATACTATTTTGAGTCTGGTCCTATTAAGATAGAATTTGTATGGTCTTCAGGTAGATGTATGCACTATGCCCAGCACAAGCCAGCCGCTCTTGTCTCAGAAGTACATTTCACTGTGTTCAATGGGCCTTACTCCCAGACAAGTATGCATACCATTCAGCCTTAATTATCACTGAATAGGCCTTTCATATGATTTTGCAACAGAAGCAGACTTCAATGAAAAAACCCCACAAAGGTGGAATTCTACTTTTGCCTGACCGATAATGAGATTGCATCTAAAGTTTGTCACGAAAATGCAAGTACAAAACACACCTATCAAAATGTATTCAGATATAATTTTGAATTTATCTTGTTTATTTGTCATCAGACAATATTATGAAACCCGTGCTTGCCAATATTTCATATGCTGTAATGCATATTTATTGGATGAATAAATTGTGCATTTTGAAAGCACTTTGTTTTGCTAAGATGTCTTTTGCCAGTGTTCATTCAGCTTTAAAGAGTTCAAACAGAAAACCTGTTGTGAATGCTGAAATAAAAGGCTTGTGGTTACAATGGAAATGAAAACTATCATTATCTCCTACTACAGGGCAAACCATAAAGTGGACTTAGTTTAAGGTTCTCAAAGTTTTAAACTTGAGTTTTCTTCATTCATCATAAAAGAGGTATAGTTTTGAGTTTGGTTTTGGTTTTCTGGGGTTTGGTTTTGGTTTCGAATTAACATGGTTTTTAGGGTTTGCAATAACATACATGCATAGTAGAGCTACAACGCATTCTGATGTAGTATGCATTTTGGAAAACTGGTGGAATTTCCCTAGATTATTTGATACTGTGGAAACACCTCAAGTTTAGGTGCCAGTTGCTGCCTTTCTGTCTGCTACACCAGGGCTTGGGTGCCCACCTTGTTAGGAAAACTTTCTTTAAGAAACAAATAAAAGTTCCTGGAAGCTTTAAAGAGGGTTCCAGAATTTTGTTTAGTGTGTAGGAGTGGCACTCTAGGCTTGATTGGTGTCAGCCGGAGGTGCAAATAAAGGGAGGAACTTGCACACTGCAATTCCTGCACGAGGAAAGCACACACACACACTGTCAGCACACACGCTGACAACAAAGTTGGAAGTAAGACAATGAGTGCTGCTGATACTGTGAGTTTTGCTGTCTCAGGATTGTTAATCACTGGACTGAGATTATACCATGCTGGAGAGATAAAGAAGGAATGTAAATAGCTTGTATATAATAGTAGCGGAAATGCTTGTGCAACCAGTCAAGCAATAAAGAAGCTCTTGACTGTGAATTTGAGTATGACTCCTGTTCTTGTCCTCTGCCTCTGGGGAAAACTCTGCTACAAACAGTAAGAAGTGGTTT